GAGGAAACGACTGCATGAGTTGGAGATATGTTTGAGACTAAATGAGAGTGTTGCAATAACAAGTGAGACGATAACATGGTACCATTTGGCGACATCCAATCGGGACCATAGCATATTGTTTACGAAACAGTCACGATGCGATTTCGCAAGACATCATAAGACCAATTCATACCATGATGAAATATCTGTTTCGTTCCTGCCCTTCATTGTAACAATTACATGTATTACAGCACGAACATTATAAGATTCATACAACAGTATAGAAAAGATCAGTTTTCTTTCTTGTTTAAAGATTGAATTGCTGTTTCCCATCTTAGTGCTAGCTGAAACTTGCAGCGAAATAAATATTGAGAATAGAGAGTTCATATTTTGAAGAAATTTTCGTCTGCTCATTCCTTTTTATGGGGTGGATCCTTTCAGTCGTTGTGGATCAGCTGATATCCTAAATGATTACGTGAAAGAAAAAAATATGCAAGTGATGACAGCAGATGTGGCAGATATACTGCAATAACCTCCCTGTAGTGACTTCTTTTATTCTTAATCTAATTATGTTTATGAAATTCTAGTAGATTTAAAAGCAGTTTTGACTCCAACTTCCTAGCCAAGACGATATTCTCATGAAAATCAAACTTCGCTGCTATTTTCGACTGTTGTTTGAGATATGAAGATTATTAATAAACATTAAAATAACATGTTCATGAAAAAATGTCCTGTTTTGTCTCTCCAGGTTTGACAAAACAAAAAAAAACTGCTAAAGCTTCAACCCAGTCGCGTCTTATATCAATCTGCTTGGGTAAAAACAATTCAAAATAAAAGTCCCCATCCTAGAAATATCAGTATTGGGGAAAAAGGTCAAATAAGATGGAAAAGCTGTACCAGTGATGGTTCTTTTTCTCGAATTATGAAAGACGGATTAACTGAGCTGTGTTACTATAATGCACCTTCAAATATCATATACATATTAAGAACTTGTGTTTTGAAGTTTACATTACAGCTGAACAATTTCGAGTATAAAGAAAGGTTACAGATTGATGAAATCGAATGAAAAGCGTCATAACACCAAAGTTTCGCAGAGAAACGGATTAGGATAGTCAGAATGGTGCCAAGACTTCCAATGTGTCGTTTCCTCGAAACACAAGCCATTACGTTGTTATAGCTAAAGTTTCATTCCTTGCTAGATAAAGAAAAACATTTATGAACGATCATGCAAATCATTTAATTTTAAAGTGTTTTGAGAGGTGATGAGTGGAGTGCTAAATGTGAGTATAGACGTCACTCTTCAACTAATGCAAAAATTCACTGCTGCTCCAACCGAACAATGGATTCTAAAACAGCTACAGCTCATACGAGCGTGAGATATTCTAAACCATTTTAGCTAGCGCTCGCACAGGTGATTCTTCTCGAGTTTAGTCGTTGTATTCATCTACAAACAAAAAATGTGTTTTCACATTATAAGAGCAGTTCAAGTTAGTTGTTGATTTTTCCACTGATAACATATCTACTCGATGTTACTTTGATGGTTTGGAACTCCTAGAAAAAAATTTTTTTTGAATAACACCGAACAAAATCAAGTCTGCTTTATTTTATTTGAGGTAATATATACAACATAATAAGTGAATTTTGTATAAAAAGTTTACAGGGTAGAGGTAATGATGCATAGCATGTAAATATGACATAAATGATCTTAGCAGAACATTCCTTCAAGCGCAAGTTGTTGAGCTGGACGAGCAGAGTTGCAACGCTGCAAAAAACCTCTTAAGTAACATTTGGTAATTATAAAAGCTAATAAAAAACTACCTTGCTGCGCCAATGGTTCCGAAATTGGTTTGTTTGTATTGGCGTGACGCGTACCCATGACACAAGGCATTAGTCCAGAAATAGCTAAACATTCTGTTTAGAAATGCCATTTCATAGCTGTTTAAAAGTAGGGCAATGCCCCAAACTGCATAAAATAGCATCATAGTCATATAGGTTCATTTTCCTTTCCCCT